ATTTTTAATTGAAGGATAATTGCTTTACAATATTGTGTTATTTTCTACCAAACATCAACATGACATTGACTTTTTTATGAATGTTAAGTCAATCTTGCATTTCTGACATAAAGTCTACTTGGTCATGATGTATTTTCCTTTTTATTTATTACTGAATTTAACTTGCTAAAAGTTTGATTAAAATTTTTGCATCTGTGTTCCTGAGACACATTGATCTGAGATTTTCATTTCTTGTATTTGTCTTTTTTTGATATCAGGGTCTCATAGAGTGAGTTAGGAAATATCATTTTAAATTTTCTGGAAGAGGTTGTATGCAATTGGTATTATATATTCCTTTAACATCTGGCAGAAATTACTGTTGAAGCCATCTAGGCCTGGAGATTTTTATTTATTTGTTCTTTGTAAGATTTTTAAAATACAAATTCAGTTTCTTTAATAAATATAGGGCTAGTTTTTCTTGAGTGAACTATGGTATTGTGTGTCTTTACAGGAACTTTTGGGTTTCCCTGATAGCTCAGTTGGTAAAGAATCTGCCTGTAATGCAGGAGACCCCAGTTTGATTCCTGGGTCGGGAAGATCCACTGGAGAAGGCCTAGGCTACCCACTCCAGTATTCTTGGACTTCCCTTGTGGCTCAGCTGGTAAAGAATTCGCCTGCAATGTGGGAGACCTGGGCTCAATCCCTGGGTTGGGAAAATCCACTGGAGAAGGGAAAGGCTACTAACTCCAGTATTCTGGCCTGGAGAATTTCACGGACTGTATAATCCATGGCGTCTCAGAGTCAGACATGACTAAGCGACTTTCACTCACTCACTTCACTCACAGGAATTTTTCCATTCAGTTGTCAAATTTATTGGCATAAGTGTTTATAACATTCCCACATTAATCTTTTAATATTTATAGAATCCATAGTGATTGCATTGCTCTCATTTCTGATATTGGTGATTTGTGTCTTTTTTCCTTTTTTTCCTCATTAATCAGGTTAGAGATTTATCAACATTAATGGTATCAGAACTGATTTTGGTTTCCTTTATTTTTTCTGTTTTTCTATTTTTATTTAATTGATTTGTGAATTTAGTTCTATTAGTTATTTTATTAATTATTTTTTATGCTTATTTTGAGCTTAATTTGCTCTTCCTTTTCTAATCACTGAAGATAAAAATTAAGACCATGATTTTGAGACTTCTTTACTTTTCTAATATAGACATTTAATACTAGAAATTTCTCCATGATGACTGCTTTAGGGGCATTCTCAAATTGTTGTATGTTGCATTTTATATTCTTTCAGTTTAAACTATTTTCAAATACCCTTTTTGATTTCTTTGACCCATGGTTTGTTTGTTTTAGGGAAATGTTATTTAATTTCTAAGTATTTGGACATTTTCCAGATATCTTTCTGTTATTGATTTATAACTTCCTTTGTAGTCAGAGAACATACTTTGTATGACTTGAATTTTTATAAATGTATTAAAACTTGTTTTATGACCCATGTGCACTTGAAAAGAATGCATATTCTGTGCTTTGGCAGTCAGAATGTTCTTCATTTTCATTCAGATGCTCAGTTGTGTCCAACTCTTTGTGACTCCATGAACTGCAGCATGCCAGGCTTCTCTGTCCATCACTATCTCCATGAGTTTGCTCAAACTTGTGTGCATTGAGTCAGTGATACCATCCAACCAGCTCATCCTCTGTCATCCCCTTCTCCTGCCCTCAACTTCTGGAACTAGAATGTTCTAGTAAATGCCAAATCAAGTTGATTGATGATTTAGTTGGTCTTTTATATTCTTTACAGATTTTCTGCCTACTTGGTATATTATCAGTTATTTACAAGGTATTTAAATTGAGTATAATTGAGAATTTATTTCTTTTTGCAGTTTCACCAGTTTGAGACCTTATATTTTGAAACTATTTTTAGGTATACAGGCACTTAGGATAGTTATGTCCTCTTGACTAATTGACCCTTTATCATAATGAAATGATCTTCATTATGGTAATATTCTTTGCTGTATAATCTACTTTGATATTAATATAGAGACTCCAAGTTTGTTTTTGACTGATTTTAGCAGTTTATTTTCTCTTCTTTTACTTTTAATCTTAATGTCTTTGAATTTCTTATAGGCAACATATTGTTCGGTCTTGTATTTTTGTCTGTTCTGTCAATGTCTTTCTCTTAATTGTTCTTTTAATTAGATCACTTACATTTAATGTTATTATTGTTACAGTCAGATTTAAGTCTATCATCTTGCTATTTATTTGCTATTTGTCCCAACTCTTCTTTGTTCCCTTTTTCCTCTTTTTTCCTTTGGGATTACTTTTAAGACTCTATATAATCTCGTTTGTTGTCACCTGTCACCTGTAACTCCTAATCTTTTTAAAAAATGTTATGGTTGCTATAGGATTTATACTATACATTTTTATCTTATTTCAAGTAGTATTACACCTTTATAGCATAAGAACTTCACAGTTTCATCCTCTCCTCTTAGCCTTGCCTAGAAAATCCCATCGACAGAGGAGCCTGGTAGGCTACAGTCCATGGGGTCACAAAGAGTTGGACACAACTGAGCGACTTCACTTTCATTTTTTTCTTAACCTTTTCACAACTATTTTCATAGATTTCATTTATATATTTTATAAGCCAGGGAGTACATTACTTTTTTTAAAATAGTTGATTATTTTTTAAAGAGATTTAAGTAATATGAAAAGTCTTACTTGTTTGTCCATGTAAGTATCATTTTTCATTGCTCTTAATTCCTTTATGTAGATCTAGATTTCCATTTGTATATCATTTTTCTTCCTTTTAAAAGATTTCTCTTAATATTTCTTGGGAACATTGGACTGCAAATCTACTGGTGGTGAATTCTTTCAGATTTTGATTTTGAAATAATTTTCACTGGTATCAAATTTCAGCTTAACATAGTTTTCCTTTCCATACTTTAAATATGTTGCTTCACTCTCTTCTTATGTGCTTTATTTCCTCCAAGAAACCTGCTGTCATCATCTTTTTAAAAATACTAATATGTTCTTTTCCTGACTACTTTTAAGATTCTCTCTTTATTATGGTTTTGAGCAGTTTGGTTACAATGTGTTTTGGTGTCATTTTCTGTCTGTTTCTTGTGTTTAGTGTGCATTTAGCTCCTGAAATCTCTGACTTTTTACTTTTCCTTAAATTTGGAAAAATTTTGGCCTCTATATCTTCAGACACTTTTTTCTGTCCCCACTACAATCCACTTTTCTTTAGGGATTGAAATTACATATATATTAGGCAAGTTGAAGTTCTTTCACAGCTCACTGATTTTTTAAGATGGTTTCTATCACTACACCTGCAAGTTCATGTATCTTTTCATCTGTAATATCTGATCTTCCATTAATCCCATCTAGTATATTTTCATCTTACATATAATTTTCATGTGTAGAAGTTCAATTTGACTTTTTATATTCCATGTCTCTAGTTAACTTTTTAAACATAGTTAACATTTTAAACATATGGAATACAATTATATAACCCTTAATATTCTTCTCTGCTAACTTAATATCTGGGTCAGTTTTGACTGACTCATCTTCTCATTATGGTCTGTTTTCATGCCTATTCGCATGCCTGGTGATCTTTGTTTGGATGTTAAAGTTTATGAATTTCAACCTGTTGAGTGCTGGCTGTTTTTGTATTCCTATCAACACCCTTGAATTTTGCCCTCTCATACAGTTACTTGGAAACAGTTTTATCCTTTTAGGTCTTACTTTCCTGGTTCATTAAGTGGATGTAAGCAGGGCTTACCCAAGGGCTAATTATTCTCCACTACTGATTATTATACTAATTATTCTCCACTACTTCCTTGGTGGCTCAGATGTAATGCGGGAGACCCAGGTTTGATCCCTGGGTCGGGAAGATCCCCTGGAGAAGGGAATGGCTACACACTCCAGTACTCTTGCCTAGAGAATTCCATGGACAGAGGAGCTTGGCGACAATCCAAAAGAGTTGGACATGACTGAGTAACTAACACACTGAGATAAAAGCTTTCTGAATACTTCACCCTCTGCCTCATGAATTATGAGTTTTTCCAGTCTGGTCAGTGGGAACAGGCACTGCCAGCCTTGGTGAGCACCAGATACTTCCTTTCAATCTTCTTAGAGGAATCTTTCTTCAGACTCAAGTAGTTTTCTTACACACATGCTATCATTATCCCCCCCTCCCCCCCTTTCTTGAGGATGCTAATCTCTGGGGTCTTCTCTGTGTAGCCCTGTCCTCTCTAGTAATCTGTCCTGTGCATTCCAGCCTCCTTGGTCTCCCCAGGTGCTCAACTCTATTTCCTCAACTCAGTCCACAGGGTAACTTCTGGGTTACCCTGCATGATTCAGAAACTTTTTCAGAGCAATAAGCTGGGGCAATCAAGTGTCTCACTTTGTTTCATTTTTCCATTTCTCATGTCTGATGTCCTGTCTTTTGACAACCATTGTTTCATGCCCTTTTTGCCTATGAGTTGTTTTGTTGTTGTTGTTTGGTAGGTTTTTTGTTGATTGGTTGGTTACTTAAGACAAGAGGATAAATCTCATCCCTTCATCTTAGCCGGAAGTGAAAGTTTAACATGTCATTTTTTTCCCATTTCAAAGTTACTTGGGGTTCAACAGATCTAATCTGAGCTCTTTGAGAGTTGTTTCAGCTCTGCTGATTCCTACTGACATATATATATATATATATGTTGTATATAATATATAAAATACATCAGTATGTATGTATGTAAACATATATATATATATACACACACATATGATATATACATAGGACAAAGAATGTTTGATTTAGTTAAAACTTGAAATCCATCTGAAAGAAGTAACTTCTAGCCACTAGGAGCTTTTTGGATAGATGCTAATTGTTTCAAAGAACCCATGGGTATAGTATTGAAATTTTCTTAAATTCTAGCCTCAATTTCTAGGAAAAATATGTATTTCTAAAAGTAATGGTGGAAATTATCATTAATACTTTTGTTTTTCTTATTTAAAAATTAGAGGGTAATGTATATAAAAATATGCAAGAATCACAGGAAACTCACATATCCAACCACCTGGATGAAATTGTTGCTGCCGTCAGCATAACACCTAGAAAGAAACTGCAAAACCAGCTGCTTCAGAGAGCACTGTTCCAGCCTCCGCGAGAGAAACTCCGCCTCTCTGAAGAGAAAGCAAAGTCGTATGCCAGCAGCCATGAAGTAAGGAACCTTTCTTTTTATGCCCGTACTGGTGACTGAGGAGTAGCCTACTTCAGGTTGCATTCGTACTCTCAGGAGCTTGCCATGAGAGAGAATGCGTGGCAGTACCTTTTGGTGGTGTGAGTGAAACGGTACCTCAGGGCACAGTCAGCATGCTCGCTGAATGAGTGCACAGAGGAGCAAAGGAGGCTGCCCTGCCCTTCGACAAGGGCACCCTTGGCGGACTGGCTGTGGCTTGACCTGCTGAAGTGGTTCCCGTGAGTCGGTAAGTGTTTCTTGAGCTCCTCCTGTGTGCCAAGTCTCCGCCCTGGGACACGGCACAAAGCAGATGAAGCTTCTACTCTTGAGGAGCTTGTGTTTCTAAAATTCTTAGTCTTCTGTTCTCTGCATACTTTACAATCTTCCTTCAGGGTTTTATTCATTTACTCATTCATTCAATATGTATTTCTCTACTACCTCTTATGTTCAGTTCAGTGCAGTTCAGTCACTCAGTCGTGTCCGACTCTTTGCGACCCCGTGGACTGCAGCACGCCAGGCCTCGCTGTCCATCATCAGCTCCCGGAGTCTACTCAGACTCATGTCCATTGAGTCGGTGATGCCATCCAACCATCTCATTCTCTGTCGTCCCCTTCTTCTCCCGCCTTCAATCTTTCCCAGCATCAGGGTCTTCTCAAATGAGTCAGCTCTTCACATCAGGTGGCCAAAGTATTGGAGTTTCAGCTTCGGCATGTGCCGGGTCCTAATTTGTCCATTTTTTTATTTCACTGAGATTTACTGTATACCCAATGTGTACCAGGCTTCTCTGACAGCTCAGTTGGTAAAGGCGCCGCCTGCAATGCAGGAGACCTTGGTTGTATTCCTGGGTCAGGAAAATCCACTAGAGAAGGGATAGGCTACCCACTCCAGTATTCTTGGGCTTCTCTTGTGGCTCGGCTGGTAAAAAATCTGCCTGCAATGTGGGAGACCTGGGTTCGATCCCTGGGTTGGGAAGATCCCCTGGAGAAGGGAAAGGCTTCCCACTCCAGTATTCTGGCCTGTAGGAGTCCATGGACTGACTGTATAGTCCATGGGGTCTCAAAGACTCAGACACAACTGAGCGACTTTCACTTCACTTCTGATGTGTACCAGGTGTTGTGCAGGGGCTCTCGGGGCGTGGGTGGGAAAGCTATAACCTCTGCCTCAGAGGATCTCAGCCTGGTTGGGAAGATAGATAATTAATGATGGTCAGCATAAGTTCTGTGACAGACACAAGCTCAGGTGAGACAGATGCCAAGCCTGGGGTTGAGGGGAGGAGGCGTGAGCAGTGACCCTAGAGGTGGAGGAGCAACAGCGCCTGAGGCGTGCTGTGGGAATGGGAGCTACTTGGGCTGCGCTGATAACAGTGCTTAGGGAGGGGAGAGGGCCGGATCAGACCAGCGACAATAGTGCTCTGAGCGGAGGTGGCAGATGGGCGAGAGTCAGCGGTCTGAGGGCACACAGCCTGTTTGGTGAAATACGTGGAACTATCTGAGAAGCAGGCTTTCGTTATACAGGGAAGGAACCGAGGTTGGATTACAGACCAGAGCTGGGGCCCGGAGAGTGTTCAGCACCCAGAAAAAGTTTACGCTTTCTCTTCAGGGTGCTGGAAACTGTCACAGGATTATAAGCCAGGAAGGGCCATGAGCATCTGAGCTTCTGGAATGATCACTCAGACCTCAGATACCTGAATAGAGGAGGAGGAGCACGGGCGTAAATTGGAGGAGGACCCGTTCAGAGGGCGTTTGCAGTAATCCCAGCAAGGAATTATGAGGGCCTAAAATATGGCAGAGGCAGTGGAAACACTGAAATCTGTTGATAAGAATTTGGAAGTATGAATCGGTGAAACCTGGTAACAAACGGGAACAGGAGGTAGAGAGGCAAGAGTGAGCCCAAGAGGGTGTATACGATTCCTGACCGAGGTTTCGGCTTGGGGGCCAGGAACTTGTCAGTACCCGTAGTTACTGTCGTGAATACAGGAACAAGAGCAGGAACAGGGAGAGAAGGTGTGAATTTGGTCTTGATATTCATTACACACCAGATGTCCTCTAGTACTAGTGTATGCCAGTCTGTGTGCTGTGTAGGTCTCAGCTGGCAGCCTGCTCACCAGAATCATGCAAGAGAATCAAGCCCTAATGCCCTAAGGCATTTGGTGTACGTGAAGAATCAACTTCTCTTCTATGCATCTAGAATGGTGGTGGTTGTTTAGTTGCTAAGTCATGTCCAGCTCTTTTGCAACCCCATGGACTGTCGCTCTGTCCATGGGATTTCTGAGGCAAGAATACTGGGTTGCCATTTCCTTCTCCATAGGATCTTCCCTACCTGGGATCAAACCCACGTCTCCTGCATCGGCAGGCAGGTTCTTTACCTCTCAGCCACCAGGGAAGCCCATCTAGAATGGTGCCAAATCATTTCCTGTGATGTGCAGTTCAGATGAAGAATCCCTGGATTCACTGGTGAACAGGACAGACAGTGGGCAAGCCCTCATGCAGCTAAGGAGCAGTAGACTTTGTAAATAGCTAGCTAACCAGAGATTGTACCAGGTGCTCTGGAGAAAATACAGTGGGCCTGTCTTAGGTAAGGGAGGGCCTCTGTGAGGTGACATCTGAACTGACACCTGAAGAAGAGAAGGATCCAGCATAGAGGAGCTGAGGGAAAGGAGTTCTAGGGACAGGGAACAGCACACATAAAATTTTGGTTTGGTACAAGCAGCGTAACAATGTTTCAAGTGATGAGAAGAAGCTTTGGGCTGATGTGAAGTGCCATTGGAGAGGCAGTTCACCTGTTTTCCAGGTCTCAAGTTAAGTGCCCTAGGAAGCCTTTAAAGTGTTTTTAAGAAAGTATTGACTAATTTGCCTCTTGAAATACCATTCTTTGGTAATTTTTTACTATAAAAAACTTATCAACTTACAGAAAAGTTGTAAGATGTACCAATTGTTAACATTTACTTTACTTTTCACACACACTGTCATTATTTTTCTGAATATCAGAGAGTAAGTTAAAAAATACATGAGCTTTTACCCCTAAAGATGTCAGTGCCTATTTCCTAAGAATAAAGAAATTTCTCCAACATAACCACACTACAATTATTGAAGTTCATTTCAGTTCAGTCGGTCAGTCATGTCCGACTATTTGCAACCCCATGGACTGCAGCACGCCAGGCCTCCCTGTCCATCACCAACTCCCGGAGCTTACTCAAACTCATATCCGTCGAGTTGGTGATGCCATCCAACCATCTCATCCTTTGTTGTGCCCTTCTTCTCCCGCCTTCAATCTTTCCCAGCATCAGGATCTTTTCCAGTGAGTCAGTTCTTTGCATCAGGTAGCCAAAGTTCCAGTTTCAATATCAGTCACTCCCATGAATATTCAGGACTGATTTCCTTTAGGATTGACAGGTTGGATCTCCTCGCAGTCCAAGGGACTCTCAAGAGTCTTCTCCAACACCACAGCTCAAAAGCATCAATTCTTTGGTGCTCAGCCTTCTTTATGGTCCAACTCTCACATCCATACATGACCACTGGAAAAACCACAGCCTTGACTAGACGGACCTTTGTTGGCAAAGTAATGTCTCTGCTTTTTGGTATGCTGTCTAGTTTGATCATAACTTTTCTCTCAAGGAGTAACTGTCTTTTAATTTCATGGCTGCAGTCACCATCTGCAGTGACTTTGGAGCCCAAAAAGATAAAGTCTGTCACTATCCCCATTGTTCTCCCATTTATTTGCCATGAAGTGATGGACCAGATGCCATAATCTTAGTTTTCTGACTGTTGAGTTTTAAATCAAATTCTTCACTCTCCTCTTTCACATTCATCAAGAGGCTCTTTAGTTCCTCTTCACTTTCTGCCATAACTGGTGTCATCTGCGTATCTGAGGTTATTGATATTTCTCCAAGCAATCTTGATTCCAGCTTGTGTTTCATCCATCCTGGCATTTTACATGATATACTCTGCATATAATTTAAATAAGCAGGGTGACAATATACAGCCTTGATGTATGCCTTTCCCGATTTGGAACCAGTCTGTATTCCATGTCCAGTTCTAACTGTTGCTTCTTGACCTGCATACACATTTCTCAGGAGGCAGGTAAGGTGGTCTGGTATTTCCATCTCTTGAAGAATTTTACACAATCTGTTGTGATCCACAGTCAAAGGTTTTGGCGTAGTCAATAAAGCAAAAGTAGATATTTTTCTGGAACTCTCTTGCTTTTTCTATGATCCAGCAGATGTTGGCAATTTGATCTCCAGTTCTTCTGCCCTTTCTAAATCCACCCTGAACATTTGGACGTTCACAGCTCATGTACTATTGAAACCCGGCTTGGAGAATTTTAAGCATTACTTTGCCAGCAACTGAGATGAGTGCAACTGTATGATAGTTTGAACTTTCTTTGGGATTGTAATGAAAACCGATGTTTTCCAGTCCTGTGCCCACTGCTGAGTTTTCCAAATTTTCTGGTATATTGGGTGCAGCAGTTAACAGCATCATCTTTTAGGATTTGAAATAGCTCAACTGGAATTCCATCTCTCCACTAGCTTCGTTCGTAGTGATGCTTCTTGCGGCCCACTTGACTTCGCATTCCAGGATGTCTGGCTCTAGGTGAGTGATCACACCATTGCGATTATCTGGGTCATTAAGATCTTTTTTGGATAGTTCTTCTGTGTATTCTTGCCACCTCTTCTTAATATCTTCTGCTTCTGTTAGGTCCATACTGTTTCTGTCCTTTATTGTGCTCATCTTTGCATAAAATATTCCCTTGGTATCTCTAACTTTCTTGAAGAGATCTCTAGTCTTTTGCATTCTATTATTTTCCTCTATTTCTTTGCATCAATCACTGAGAAAGGCTTTCTTATCTCTCCTTGCTATTCTTTGGAACCGTGCATTCAAATGGGTATATCTTTCCTTTCCTCCTTTGCCTTTAGCTTATCTTCTTTTCTCAGCTATTTGTACAGCCTCCTCAGACAACCATTTTTCCTTTTTGCATTTCTTTTT